CACCAGTAGTAGATGTTCTTGGATGCACTCTGCTAGTCTTCTGCCTGTGGCAGTCCTTAATGTTGTACTGTATGTTGTGGATGATTTCTATTTTTTTTTCTGGGGCTGCTTGGTTTTTTAGTTTACTTATGATGTTTTGGAAGGCTTTAGTTGGTTTGTGTGCTGTGGTTGTAACAGTCTGTTGGTGATTTCTAAGATATTTTTGATTAAGTGGCATGGATATCTGTTTTGGAAGACATTGTATAGACATTTCTTTTTTTCCTTAAAATGGGATTAAGCTTTTAGAAATGCACAAAAATTAGCACTAAAGTACATCTGATTTTTCTTTCACAGATATTGCACATCCGTGAAAAATATGTAATGCTAACACTTTTAGTTATAAGAAAATATTTCAGCAGGGAGTAGGATGAAGTATAAACATCAAATCCTCAAGCAAAAGTGATTATCTAGAACAGAGGTCCCCAACCTTTTGGGCACCAGGGTCCGGTTCCGTGGAAAAAGGGTTTTCTGCGGACTGGAGGAGGCATGGTTGTGTGCTGCCTCCATCCCAAGGATGGGTCTTTGCTTGTTTGTGCGGACCGGTTGCTGGCATGCCACTGCCCAGTACCGGTCCACAGACTGGGGGCTTGGGACCCGATCTAGAAAAATGTTTTCTCAACCTCCGCAACTTTTAAGATGCATAGACTTCAACTCCCAGAATCTCCCTGACAGCAAGGTTGGGTGAGGAATTCTGGGAGTTGAAGTCCACACATCTTAAAGTGAAGAAATAATCCAATTGATATCAAAGACTGAAAGAAAAATTATTTCTACTTGCTTCTTTTCTTTTAGGGAATCTTTAGACATTAATGTGGATACCCCAATGAAAATAGCAAAATTTATCCAGAAATTAATTGTGTTTTCATCTTTCCATATACCACTAAAATTGATTTCTGTAATCCTTAAATGCAAAATGGTGTACCATTGGGCAAAACATCTTGAACGAGTTACCTCAGATGGACTAACTTAAGAGAATGCATCCAAAATTTGGGGCCTTTTGACTCTCAAACTTTGGCAAATTTTGTAAATCATTTTACGACATAAATATTAAAGCAGTTTATGACATAATACAAAATGTCATAAAACTTTTCTGTGCTGTTTGACTGCTATAACAGTTCAACAGTTCAAGGAATCTTGGACTTCCGGTGGGACGGCGCGCCGATGGCGGCTCTTTTCGGAGCCGTCCGCTTGGGAAGGCGTCAGAGCCAGCATGAACAGCGGTCAGCAGCTGTTCAGCGGCTTGGAACCTTGTGCCCCGGGAGAAGGGGTCGAGGTGAGTACTCCTGGATAGGAGTAGAGTCCCAAAAGCTCTCCCTTTTTCTCGGGAGAGCGAA